TGAGGTTTCATCAACTCTTACATAAGGATAGAGGTTAATAGATTATTTTTCACCAATTTTGAGAATAGACTTGTGTATGTCATAGGGATAAGGTCAAAAGAGGCTTTCTTTTTATTGTTTTGTGGTTTCTTTGAATTATTTATTTGGTTATTGGCCCTTGAAATTGGTTTTACAACGAGTATAATGGTAGGGTTAGACATATAAGTGGGTGTCTAGTGTTGAAATGTTAGCTGAAAAATGGATGTTAGTGCTGGATGATATAGATAATAGGTTGATGTTACATGGCCTTGGTACATTGGTGATGATCATATAGATCGAGGCTTCTAAATTGATACCCCTTATAGCTCACATCATGAGCTTTATTTTCTTTTTTGGGTGTTTCATTTTTCTTTACACTGGTAGTCTATACTCTATCTAGTTTTCTATTCTTGATGGTATTTTCAATAATCTCCTTATAGATCATCATGTCAACAAATTTTTTAGTGGTGTTCCTTATCATTCTTTCATAATACAAAGCTTTCAAAGTGTTGATAAACAAGACAGTAGTTTTTTCTCCATAAGAGGTGATTGTACTTAAATTACTGTCTCTTTACCTTTTTGTGTATTTTTTTTAAGCTCTCTATTACTTTTTTTCATGCTTTTTAACAACAAACAATCTGAGGCTAAATCCATGATTTATCGATATTGAGAAATCAATGCCTTTATAAGCATTTTTTCAAAATGAATATGAGTCATATCCAGCTGAACATACCATTTAGCAACAAAATCCATAAGGTTGTTTGGAACACATGTATCAATAGCTTTTCATCATGGGCATGAACAACCATCTTATGATAGTATAAAATAACATAGGTCACTGGCATTTTATACATCGTATTTTTTAAACTAATAAGCCTTCAACTTATGAGATGACCACATTTGAAACCAAACAAAGCTCAATTACATTCATAGAGTCATAAAAATCCATTCCCTCTATGGCTTAAAGTCTTTTTTCCAATAAACTCATCTTCTATTAGGAGCTCGTGTCTTTCACTATTTTAGATGCTTTTATTCTTATTTTTTTCTCTCTTCTTAAGATCATCCAAATCAGGGATCAAAATTGACTAAAATGATTTCTCTACAAAGACCAAACTAACAAAATTTAGGAATAGTCTTATACCAATTGTGGATGTCATTTCCAAATAAATGTATGGATATCTTTTGAGGAAAAGAATTTTCTCCATAGCCCCTTTAGAGGTTTGGGGTTGATAAGGCTCAAACCTGGGGAAATACATGATGCAAACAAGATAATTTCAAAAGAAAAAATAAAAATGCTTACTCATGAGTCCTAACTTGGTTACATTCTAAAGAATGGTTATTCATAGAGATGCAACAACATTTACAAATATGAAAAAAAATGTGTATGCATTATTGATAATGCACATAAAATGAAACAATATTTACACAACAATAAAACATATTCACACAAAAATGTAATTTATCTACAATACAAGCATGGCACAATTAAAATTTTTGTTTTCTTTCATTTTATTTATAAAAAAAAAAAATCTCAAAAGAAAAACCATACTCTTGTTTTTCGTTTTTTTTAAAACAAAATAATAGTAAGAGAATTTCATTTTGAAATAAAATTCAAAATACAATACAAATTTTCCTTTTTTATTTTTTATTTTTCTTTTTTCAAATAAAAACTTTATATAATCACAAAGCAAGTTACGACCACATAAAAGAAATTAAAAACTAAATAAGAAAATACAAACAAGTTCCTTATTATCCTATTATTCATAACATAGCAAAACTCATTCATGTGCCATAATTAGGGACTTTTAAGGTGCTTTATATTTAAGGTTTGAGATATGATAAAGCTAATAGGTTCTTAAATTATTCCTCACTGTTATCTACATTAGACTAGTAAAATACTCCGATCTTTATCTATGATAGGCTACAAATGAAAATGATTCAATTTGAGTGAGATTATTTCACTAGAGATTAGAATCTCATGAAAGCATAGGTACTCTACTCCCTCTTAGAGAGACAAAATCGAGATATAGAACTCATGTTATGCACGTGCAAGATAAATGTTAGAATATTAAATGCTAAAATTAAAATTAATAAATAAAAAAAATTCAAATATCGAATACCAAAAAACAAAAAAGTTAAAAACTATAAAAAAAATAATAATAAAGCTTGGATAACACAAAATCAATTATTCGTTAGACTTTCGATGTTCCGAGTAGAAGCACCAAACTGTTATATCGTAGCAATTTGAGGACTTAATCACTAGTGTAAAAATTATGAGTTGCCACTATTTTTTTTTTTTTGTTTAGATACTATTGGCCAAAAACCTATCTTATAATAAACCTTAAAATTAATTAAGATTTTCTAAAAATCTTTTTGTTTATGAATCAAAGTTGGGTTCGAAAATACAATTACATATTGAAAAGGTTATAGAAACCCCATAATGTCCATCTGAAGACAAACTAATTGATTTTATGTTATCCATTCTAGCAAAATTTTTTAAAAATATTTTTCTAAAAAACTAATATTGAAAATTATTCTTAAATTATTTTAATATTTTAGTAAAAATTTAAGAATATTTCTTTATCTCAATAGTATTTAAGATATCTATTGTCATTCTTGAAGAGACTATATCATCGAATTTAAAAATATTGTTGACAATCTTTGGTATATATTGGAAAATTTTTTAAATACTTTAATAATTTAGTAGCATTTAGAAAATAATACATCACCTAGGGATTTACATAAAAGTTATTATTTTAATTTTCCAGTAATTCCATCATTGGAAGATTCAAGACAAAAATTTTTATATTTTTAATTTCAAGAAAATTGATATTTTAACTTTTTCTTAGACATTTTCATAAATTTACTATAACTAAAAATTGATATTTCAACTTTTTTCATAGTATTCTTTTGAAAGTTTATTTTGTTTGTTTCAAATTTTATATTTCTAAAATTTTTCAAAACAAAAATTTCGTTTATCCTATTTCATTTTTATTTTCAAAGGATTTAGGAAATTTTAATATTTTAACTTTTTTAATATTTTCAAAATTTTATTTTGTGGAAAATTTTTTTAAATATTTTTAATTTTTTCCTTGGTTTTTTTTTTAAAAAAACAAGATTGTTTTATTTTTATTTCTTATTTTATTATCTTTAATTTTTAAAAAATTAGAAAAAAATTAATATTTCTAACTTTTCCTAAATATTTTTCGTATTTATTTTAAATAAATTTTAAACTAAAACATTTTACTTTCTATACATATTTTTTAAATATTTATAAACCTACACCAAAATTCACCCAAAAATGCAATAAACAATCATAAAATCAAAATACAAACATAAAAAAATACAAAAAAGTAAAAAATGAACAAAAATAAAAAATACCCCTAATCAATGGTTCAATCTAAAGTCAATGGTTTGATTTGACTAAGATCGATTCAGACAAGTTTAACTAGGTTCGGCTCAAAAGAGGTCTTAGAAATTAGGTCAGGCATGTAGATCTCTGGTTGGATCTACACTCAGATCTTGAATTTTGTTTTTTGGGCAACACTATAAAAATCCAAAATTTTTACCTTCATTTTTTGCCTCCTTCCTTTTTTCTACATTCCCTCTCTGTGTAAATTTCTTCACTTCTCAAACCTCCGTAGTCAGCCACCTTATTTTCAGAATTCGACAATTGACTACTTTTTTTTTTGTTTGGGTAGGTCTCAAAGAATGGTTTTTTTTTTGTTCTTGGATGAGGTAGAGAAATTGTGCTTGGTTAATCAGTTAGGTTAGGATGTTGATTTTTTATAAAAGAATGGGGTTTGGCTTTCAATAGTTTGGGTGCTAGGTGAAAATGGAAGCCGAACAGGTTTTGATGGAAAAGCTTTGCGGATGTTGGTGGTGGGATGTAACAGATGTGGTAGGCTTAGGAGTTATGGTGGTAGTAGGCTGCCTTTTTGTTGAAAGCTTGTTAAGGTGGTGGCCCTAAAGATTTTGTCAAAGAAGGCTATGGTAGTTCTCGTTAAAAATTCGCCTTTCAATTTTTATTTTGAAAGCTAGATTTAAAATATTGAATATGAATTCAGATCCCAAAAAATCTAAGATTGAAGGATGGTTTTTCGAAGTCACTGAAAATCTTGCTACAAAATTTGTCAAAGTTTGGTATTGACTGGTGGCTAGCAACCTAATTTCAATTGCCTAACCCTCTACTCGTCGCCGCCTCCGCTGTTGCCGTCGCCGTCGTCGTCGTTACATAAAAACAATCAAAGCAACCTAACTTCTAATGGGTATTAATAAACCTAAGATTTCATATTTCATTATTCTTTACTCGAATGACTTAAGCTCTAAATTGAACTTAAACTGGGTTAGAATATTCAAACAATTTATCCAAACAAAATTAGGTATCTACAATATGCATTTCCTTTAATGTTGTATTCCATGAAATTAAGCCATAAACTTTCATTGTAATTAGAATATTGATATATATTATGAAATGTGAAATATTTGCCTAAATTTATTTAGATAAGCTAAATGGCAAATACTCATAGTAATCCTATTTTAGTAATTTTGACAGTTGGATAATATTCTTCTAATTTTAAATTTAAATGGTGTAATAACAATAATAGAAGTTCATAGTAATTTAATTTCATACAATAAAAATATTGAATGCTTTTTTTTTTTATTTTCTTTATAAAATTCAAGGACTTATTTGAGAATTATCTCAATATATTTTAATATAGATAACATAAATAATAAAATAATTTATTATGTTATATTTCACAAATATTAGTGATCAAATTATTATAAATTCACATTGACAATAAAATCAAAATATTAATAAATTTTTTAAGCATTATTGATCAAGTTATAAAATTTTCAAAGTTGAGTGATTAGAAAAGAAATTCTTTGAAAGGTTAAGTGACCAAAAGTTTGATTTATCTTTATGTTTAATTTCAAGTTTTTATTTTTTTTTCTAAGATTTATAATTCCATATGGCATGTCAAATTATGTGGTAATATTAGATTACATGGCAAACTCATATGATGTCTCACGGATATTATGACATTGCCATGTTAGCTTGCCTTAGAGATTAACAGTTGGATGACCAAAAAAGACAATATCATAAATGTTAGTGATCGAATCATAAGCTTTTTATACTTGAGTTACCAAAATAAAATTTGCCTAAAGTTAAGTGACTAAACATGTGATTTACCCTAATAAGAAAGAAACATAAAGACCCAATGTCCATGAGTATGAGAAGAAACATGTATGTTTTAATTTATAGTATTGCTAAAGTTTATTTTAATGTATCACACATGTATGTTTTAATTTATAGTATTGCTAATGTTTATTTTAAGGTATCACACATGTTTTAATCATATAGTGGAAAAAAAAAGAATAAATAGTGAGGGAAAAACATAAAGAGCTTATTGAAACATACAGTTGTTCTAATTTGGACAAGTTACCCAATGTGGATGGTAAAGGGCCAAAAAGTTGTTCTCAGCAAATGACCTAAAAAGGAAACATAAAGACATGAATAATTTTATTTCTTAAACTTGTTTAATGCATAGGATATGATTATGTCTTTCACTATTTTTGCTTTCCATGAGTATCAAAAACAGTATCAGTTCACTGAAATTCTTTTTTCTTTCATTCTCGTTGTTTTTAAATGATTGAAGAGAAATTAAAATCTATTCAGAGAAAAATTAATTTCCTTCTTATAAACAGGGTCGGAAGCCTTAAAATGAGGACTACTTAGTACTCACAGCGCTCTCAATTCAGTAAGCTTTCCAAGTTCCTTAGGAAGTTCCCCTGAGAATGCATTGGCATTCAGAAATCTGAAAATGTTTCCAATTTAAAAAGTTACGATAATATATGAAACTATTCTTAATTAATATTTGCACTAAAGTATGAAATATGCAACTCAATGGGCTTACAAGTACTGCAAGCTAGTTAGGTTACTTATTTTTGGTGGAATAGAACCTGTCAAGTGGTTTAGCCCCAAATTCCTGTATTAAAAATAAAAAACATTGGTTAATGTAATATTTAAGGGAAAAAAGTTTGTAATTAATGTGTTGTAACCCCTTGAATTTGATAAAAATATTGCGTTAAATGGAAAAACTTTCCCTGAAATAGTATTTTAACTATCCTTAACCGGTGCCTATACATTAAATCTTACAAGATAACGAGGAAAGTCAAGCTCCAAATCTCTTCTGGGAAGTTACCGACGACATTCCTTGCATACACTTTCCTGTAGTAAAAATTCAAAGTAAATCTATAGCTCAAACAGATATATTCTTATTATTGTCATTTGTTAGAATTTACATGTAAAAGGTACACCATTTCTTAATTTAAGGTCTCTTAATTATCCCTTTTGCAGCATGGTTGCAAAGCACATCCTTAATGTTGGAATCTTTAGAACTCACTTTTTCGTTATTCTTAACCTGTCTTGCTTATTTATCATTCTTGAATTTCAACTTCCTTTTTACACTTGAATTCTCCCATAAAAGAATCATTAATCGATTCCCCCATACATGCTTTGCGTCTTTTGTGTAAAAATGATTGCGCTCTAAATCGGGTTAAGAACGAAAATTATAAATGTTTTGCATTTGAAATATTGTGATTAGATAAAAGATTCTATGAAACTGTGTGTTAATTGGGCGGGTGGGGATGGGTTTGAGCCAGACCACTTTAGTTTGAGTTATTTTGGGTTTTAAAAAATCAGATCAATTTTGAGTTGGATCATTTGGTTTCAAGTTATTTTAGGTTTGAGTATTTTGGATTTCACATTCAAGTTATTTGAATTCAAATAATTTTGGGTTTAATTTATTAATTTTTAAAATAAAATTAGATTAAATTTAAATAAATTATTTGATCCAGTTCAAATTAAATTTTATTATAATTTTATGAAAAGATGAAAGCAAAAAAAAAAATAATAGTTTAAAAATAAATATAAATATTATAATATGTATGCTTTAAGTTGAAGTTAATTTTTATATAAATAAAAAATATATGATTTGATTAGACTCGACAAATTTAAACATAATATAATAACATGATTCCCAAATGATACAAAAAAATTTGTATGGATTTTAAAAAAATGTATTTCATATTTACCCATATTGACACAAATTTTGACTCACGTAAAATACCAAAAATCAGTTTAATTAATCATGTCATATGAGTACACGTATTAGATACATAAAATATGTTTGTCAATTTATAATTTTTAATAATTTTTATATTTATTTTAATTTAATATAAATATTTAAAGAGTATTTTAAACTTTTAATTGTAACACACAATGCATATTTAATACAATCACATAAAAATTACTTTAAATATTTATTTATGTTACACATTTAATATGCAATTATTTTTATATTAATAATATAACTACAATATAAATAACCATTCCAATATAATTGCAACTCATTATTTAGTGGCTTATTATTTTCGATTTTAGTATAATTGTAGCTAATTATATAATTTATTCTAACTTACATAATTAAAAATTAATAATATAAAACATAACATATATACACAAATCAATAACTTGTTTTATATGTTTTATTTTAAATCACATGATAGTTGATAGTATGTAAAATTATACGAAATTATATAATTTATTATAAATGATACAATGATATGTGGGTATAGACATGACAATTAAAATAATTATAATTTTATTTTAAATCATCTAATAAATTATACAAAATTTTATAACTAACATATATATAATTTATACTAATTTGATGTAAAAAATATATATTAATTTGATACTTTTAATAATTTTAATGAGTTATCATTTGTGTTAGATTTATTATTTTTATTTGTGTTATATTTATTATTTTTATTAAATTAATGTTTTTAAAAAATTATACCTCGGATTATTTCAAATTAATTTTTAAGTCATTTCGATTTTGGATTATTTTGAATTTTGACTATTTCAATTTCAAATACTTTTTACTTTGGGTTAAGATCAATTTGAGTTTGAATTATTTTCAATGTCAAGCTGGGTGGATTTGAGTTGTTGACTTTTATGATCAAATCAAACATGTTCAAGTTAATTAGGCTGATTTTTCGAGTTCGGAACAAAATGAACAAATCTATATGAAATTGTTAAAACTACATCAACTTATACATCATTCCATTCATTTAATGCCATTTCATTCTTTTCCCTGCATCATTCTGTACATCACTAAGTTTTCCAAAAACTTTTAGTCCTGCAACTTATTTATTTTGTTTTGTTAAAACAAGCACTGCACTAACTACTCTCATCTCTTATTTGTTTTTAGTTATGAAAGTTCCAACAGAAACTTCTCCATCCATAAACCTCAACACATTATTTTTATCGAAAGTTAGATTTTGATATGATGGAGCACCGATCATCACCCCTTCAACTGCAGTTTTATTTTTTATTTTTTTAATTTTGTTTAGTTGAAACACTTACCACCGACTATCTCAGATTTGTTTCCACCCATCAACGAGAAGCTTTTACTTTTCACTTGTCATTTTAGTAAAAAGACAATGTATCAATTCCGTTAGTTCTGTGAGGCAAAAAACAAATTTGTGTTAGAACTTCAATTTATTTGAGAATCTAATAGATTTTAAAAGAGGAATTTTTCGAAACTTTTAATTATGATGATTGAGTCTGAAGATAAAAGATTATCATCAAAATATAGTAGATAAAGCGCTAGTGTTGGGGTTAAGGTAAGAAGTTTTGGAGGAAATTTCAATATATAAGTGATGAGTCAAATTTATAAATATTTAATTTTATCTGAATTGATTCTAATCCGTTCAATTTTTAAATTTGATCTTATCATTTTGATTTGGATTAAATTTGATTGGGCTAATCTTGAAAAATTACTTTTGGATCTTTTTACATGGGTTAAAGCCCAATCCAATTTCATTTGGGTTAAGGCTCAATTCAAGTTCAATTATGGGAGCTTGAAGGCCCAATGAAAATTCAAAGCTAATAATGAGGCCCATGTCCATTTTGTCAAATTTTAAATTTATTTAAAAATATATATACAATTTTTTTTGTGATTGTTAGTGACCTTCCTCTCATTAAAAAAATATTCAGTAAAATATGATTTTGAAAATTTTACCTAGATATTGGAAAGGATTCAACATATGATTTTTACCAAAAAATATTATTTTTATTTGAGAGAAATATTATAAGATTCTTTTAACTAAATGGTCAATTTTCTTAAATTCCACTAGATATTGGGGAATTGAGGGTATTTTTCAACATTAAAGATTTTTATTTATTTCTAAACATTTTGTTAGAGAAATAATGATAAAAATTAGAAAAAAAAAAAGATTTGACAAGAATGGAATAAATTGATCATGGGTGTTATTTGATTTTCATTTGTATAATCTATTTTATATTATATCATATGTATGGTATTAGGTGATAATAAAATTGAAATAAATTTTTTTAAAAAAATTAATTTTAGAAACCAATAAATTAATATTTTTAAGTAAAAATAATTTTTGGGATTCCTACTTAAATATTAGAGGGATTCTCAATAATTATTTTTTATAAAGAATATTACACCACATTTTAAAATTATTATGAGAATCTTAAATAAAAAAATATTTTTTAAAATTCTACCTAAATATCAAGGAATTTAGAAAATGTTTCGAAACTAAAAATTTTCATTTTATTCTTAAATAAAAGGTTTTAAAAAGATTTTTGTAAAAATTTAAAAAATTAAGGAAATTTTTTAAATATTAGAGTTAAGATCATTTTTATCAAAGCAAAAAAATAATATATGATCAGTTAGTATTATTTTTAAAATGGGCATTGTGAAAATGATAATTCTTTCTTACGTGTAATTATACTCCTAAATCTAACTTTATTTTTTGTATACTAAAAATTATTTTTTTAATAAGTTTGAAGTAACTTTAAGATTTTATTAAAAAAATAAATTTTTTAAATGATCAATCACACTTAATCAAAAATATTGATAACACTCTTTCAATTTGGATTTGATATGCAAAACTATTATTACAAAATTAGACGAAAAAAATGATAAAATAGCATTAAATGAATGGAGTGAAATATAAGCTGATGTAACGCAACAGTTTTATAAAAAAATTTTCTCATTGCGAGCATTTGAAAATGAAATTGGTATTGAAAATTATTTTTATGTTCTGGGGACGCTGTAAAGTGGACTCGCATCTCAAAGGATTAAACTGATGGCTTAGACACTGGATCTAGCTAGACCATTAAGTTACGGATTGTTATTGTGGATTGTAGATTGTGAATTATGAATTGTGAACATAAAGTAATGTTTATTGTGAAATGCGTATAAATTGTAATATTTGGATTGTGGTTTATTAAATTGAAACTTGTGATTCAATGTATTTTTAATGTGCTTGATCCCGTTAATTAGTTTCTTTAGTTTTTGAGCTCAATATGTTGGGTTTGTTCTTATCTAGTATTTTACTTAATCTTTTATTAACAATTAAATCCTATATGATATAAGTGAATATTATTATAACACTTTATTAATTAGTAAATTTAAAAATTTGAAAGCCCTTCAAAACAAATATTGATAAAATGTGTTTATTTGGATAAAAGAAATTGTATTAGAATTTCATTTTCGACATTCTCTTTAGTAAATTCATTCTCTTTAGTAAATTCCCTTATGGAAAGAAAAATATTTCTTACAGTTTCCTATGAACCAAACACCTTTATATATATATATATATATATATCGGACTTCCACAAAAGAGAATTTTTTTAATATTTCTGACTAAGGCTCATTTTTAAACTCCACCATTGATAAAAATGGATCACTAAAACTCAAATAATGACAACTTTTATGGAACCAGAGTCATATTATAACCTTGATCACGTAGATAAGGTTAATAGACCTAAAAAGCCATTTATTAAAAAAAAGAAATGAGAAAGAGAGACATACAATTGGTTGATGTGGCAAGTGGAGCTACTATTGTAAGAACAGTCACATTTTATCCCTGTATTCAAGGTGTCAATAGAGGTAGTAGAATCAATGGCAGCTCCACTGCATGGCTCTCCGCTTATATTCCATAATTTGTTTTCAAAAGTAATCCCCCATTTAAGGAAAAGTGAATTCAAAGCTCGAACTGCAGTCAATTGAAAGGTGTCAATTAAAATTAGCAAAAAGAAGGCAGAACTTACAAATCCTGATCTCCGGGAAACTTGGGTTTTTTTTTTTTTTTAAGTGAAACAAACAGCTTTATTCATAGTACAGAGAGTAACATTTATAGCCAAGCTACAAAATCACAGGATCTATGAACCCCCAACCAAGAGAGTTACACTTATAGCCAAGCTACAAACTTGGGTTACTTTGTAGGGGATTATTTCTTTTGGATTGGGATTTCCCGTTTTTTTTTTTTGGACTCTAGCCTCCATTGTATTGAGATTTCTCATCTCTTGGAAACTTGGGTTTATAAAATCTTTCATTTTACCTTTCAAAAGAACAGTTATTATTCCTACATGTATAAAGTTGAACATATATTCCCTTATCAGATTTCCGACCAAAATGGTATTGCTCATTCAAAACATACACACACATACTTATATATATATATATATATATCTAGAGAGAGAGAGAGAGAGAGAGAGAGAGAGAGAGAGAGAGAAGAGTGCACCTTCATCAGGATCTGTAGTTGCTGGAGTTCCTTTCTGAGTTTGAACGGTCGCAACAAGCAAAGTACATATCCAAACAACATATAGAAGAAAACATTGCTTTCTCGGGTATACTCTCATTTTTTTTCTCTATTAAACTTGCATGGATTTACATTTGGATACCTTGCCAAAGAAGTGATATATAGATTCATAAGAGTACCAAGAGCTCTTCAATGGCCTTGAGACTCGAATCTCTTTATTTATATGGGTGACTTAAATGGTGTGTTTGCTACAACGAAAAAGTAAAAGAATAGATAGGGGAGAATGAAAAAATAAAAAGAAAATGATTTTTGTGTATTTTTGGTAAGAAAGAAAAATAAAAAAAAATAAAATTGAAAAGATTACCATTTTTCATTCTTATTCACAAAAACAAACTTTTTTTTTTCCTCCACACAAGTCACGTCATGTGGACCAACATTTTCTAAAAGTATTTTTTGGGCCAAAACATTTTCTAAGTCGGCATTTAATGCTTTGTACTAGTTTCGTTGAAATGAAATGGAAAACGATACACGTCGTCCTTGAGAAAGTTCTCAGGTCATGTTTCTCGGAAGTATACATAAGAAAACGATTAAATGAGAAGAATGAGCATGTAAACAAAATCTTTGTGCTCTTTGTAAAAAATAAATAAATAATTTTATTTGTCTATCTCAAGCGATAAACGGAGTTTAATTTGAATAAATATTAATGCTTAGAATGATTTTTAAATTATAATAAAATATTTAATATAATATATAAAATTTTAAAATTTTTAATATAATATTTAAATTATAAAATTATTAATTAATATAATATTTATATCTAACATAATTAACTCCAAATTATAATACATAATATACAAATGACCTTTTAAATAAAATATTTGTTAAAAAAAGTTAATAGCACTCGTAATCATTAAATTTTAATGTAAATTCAATTTTGATATTTTAATTTTAAGAAGTTTTAATCGAATCCCTAATTATCTAAATTTATTTTATTTTAATCATTCCATCTTGGCTCTAAATTGATGGTAAATTAGTAAATACTAATTGACATTATACGATGATGTCAATTAGCATTTCACATGACAAATGAATGATTAAAATAGAATTTTTTCAAAGTTTAAGGATCAAAGATAAAAGTATCTTAAAATTTTATATATTTCTTATTATATTTTATAAAATATTAAATTTAAAATTACATTTTTTATTTTTTGTTGTAATATTTTTTAATAGAAAATATTTTTTAAAAAAATTAAAATTAAGTTAAAATTTCAAATTTTTTTTTAACAAAAAATAATTTTCTATTTAAAATATTATTTTACTTATAAATCATTATAAAAATATTATTTTCTATCCATAAAATATATTTTAAAATATTAAATATCTTTTATTTTCCTTTTTCAAATATATTTTATTAAAAATAAATAAAGGAAAGCATAAAAATAATTCAAGAAAATTTATTTTTATATTTTTCAAATATATTTTATAAAATATTATAATTTAAAATATTTTTATTTTTTATTATGATATGATTTATCAATAAAATAATATTTTAATAGAAAATAGATTTTTTAAAAATTAAAATTAAGTTGAAAATTTCAAAATAATTTTGTTAAAATTACATATCATTTTAAAAAATTAAGTAAAAATATTTATATCGGTTTAATAAATTAAATAAAAACTCTATATCATATTAAAATATTATGTAGAAATTTTTAGGTCATTTTCAAAAATAGATTTTAATAATCTATTCAAAAATATAAACAATTTTATATTCATATAAAATAAAATTATAATTTAAAATATTTTTCTTTTTTCTTTTTTATATAACATATTTTATAAAATATATTTAAAAAGAAAAAATAAAAGATATTTAATATTTAAAAAAAAGTTTGGATAGAAAATAATATATTTTGTTATGACTTATGAGTAAAATAATATTTTTAATAAATTTTTTGTTTTTAAAATGTATTAAATTAAAAAAATGAAAATTTTAAATTAATTTTAAGTTTTTACTGTCTATTTTGTATTTAAAACAAAAATCTATCTAATAAGTTATATTATAACAAAAAAAAATATAATTTTAAATTTAATATTTTTATAAGATGTGAATAAAGTATATAAAATTTTAAGATAATTTCATTTTTTATCTTTAAAATTTGAGAGAATTTTATTTTGATCTTTTATCTGTCAACTAAGATATTAGTTGATGCCATCAGGTGATGTCAATTAATATTTGCTGTTAATTTAAATGATTTTATAGATAAAATGATTAAAATAAGATAACTTTAAGTAATTAAGGATTTGATTAAAGTTTTTAAAAATTTAGATCAAAATTTAGAAATTATAAGTGTTATTAACTTTTAAATAAATAAGATAAGAAACTTTGGATCAAATAAAAAATAATATAATACTTAGTAGTAAATTTTTAAATTATATTATTTTTTTTATATTTTTCCTATTTCTATGTGATGTTCTAAATTATCATAATCCACTCTCCTCTATTTTACCTTTCTATGCCTCTGCCGTTTCCCGGACGACAGGTCAGCACCGCATCCATAAACGGAAAATTAAATAATAAAAAAATTTTCTACCTCTACTCTCTCCCACTAAGCTCTTATTTATTATTTGCAGGGGACCATCCTTTCCTTCTAGCAGGACAGTTTGCCGCAAACACCGAACAGGACCTTCTCTTTCGTGGCCCCCACTCATTTTCTTTTTTATTTCTTTTTTAATTTTAATTTATCTATCATTCTGGCCCCTAAGCTTACTTGGGATCATGTGCACTTTGCATTGATTAAGGCTCCATTTGCAATGCGGACCTTAAGTAACGGTGCAATTATTATAAAAAAATATGTCACTAGCAGAGTTTCGATAATCAAATATTATTATGATGCGTTGACATTTTGTGTCAATCAATCACTGTAGTTGAAGGTTTCATTGCTTCAATCGTAATTTTTTTTTTATTTTATCTCTTTAAGTTTACAAATTTAAACTTTTTGCTATTTTTTATTTTTTCCTCATATTTTGAGTTTTTTATTTAAAAATTATAAAATAATTTAGTTACTTTAATATAAAAATAAAATTTATTATTATATAATTATTTATTTATTTATTTTAATTAATTTATTAATAAAACTATTATTTGATTTTAAAATAATTTAATAATTATTTATTTTAAAATATTAAATAATTTAAAATTTTTCATATAATTTTTAATTAATATACTTAATATTTTTAATGATTTTTTTTATTATTATTTTATATTTAAAAGATAAATTTTAATTTATTATTATAATAATTAATTTTATTTTTATAATTTTATTATCAATTTTAATTTTATCAAAATTAATTTAATCGTCTATTCAATCGTATGTATGCCTATGAGACAAGACAAAAATCCGGAAGGTTCCCACTCCCCCGTCCCTAATCACTCCACGCGCACGGCCCTGATATTCTTCAACCAGGGCGCGTGCGTCAAGTTGTGACCACTTATGGTCCAGAACGCCTTCTGTCGACGCGTGTCTTCCTTGTCGTTGTCCCCGCAAGTGGCGCAGAGAGAAGCGACGTAATTTTTGGTCCCGCCCCGCACTTTTTGAGACGTTTTGCTTTCTTCTTCTTCTTGTTATCTTCAGGGGGCCGTCACTCACCGCCTGCGGCAGGTAACAGTCACATGAAACCGAACAAAACTGAAAACTCCACTGTAAAACATCCCAACCTTTGCGGCTCTTTTCATTAAGAATCAAGTTGTCATCATTAATGGACGGTTTTTATCTTACCAAGTGCTAATTTTGTCACGCTATATTTGAGTGACGTGGAAAGCACGCTCCCAGATTTAAGCTATACCGTAGCCTGCCTACTATAAAATTACTGCAACAACAACTAGCTACTCTTTCTAGATATGATGCTGTACTTTGTCGTTGTAAGCACTCTCATACGCATGGTACGCTACGCTAATGAGTTCTTCACTTTCACTAAAAAAAAATGACACTCCTATCACTATTAGTACTTTTCTTAAATTTTAATGGTAACATTTTTCAGTTTTAATTGTGAAACACTACTCGAAATTTGAGTTTAGATTCATACAGTATGTATGAATATGATCAAGTGTATTTGTTTACATTTCTATTTTTTTTCTTTGGTAGAAAAGGATTCTAGTTTTTTGATTCGTTTCAGAATTGATTAGTAGTTAATGTTAGATTTTGCATTCAGTAACCAAATAAAAGTATTTTATTAGTGACAAATTTGGAAATTGTTCATCAATGGTGATCAGGGTTTGGAATTGAATACTATTTTCATTTTCCATGGTTTCCGACTCCTGTTGTGGCTCGATCGAGAAAAAAAAAAAAATTCTGTTCTAGCTAGCTTCCCCGCATCAGCATTACTATTACTAAAAGGTAAAATTTCCCCTTCCCTTCTGTCTTGACCAAATGTTCTTCATCCCTTGGAAGCATTTCCTTTCTTTTGGGAGGAAAAAGACAGTAATCCAGTAACATAAATAACATTGTTTAAAGAAAATTGCAAGGTGACTATGACCGGATTTAGTTTAATTTTTTGATAATATATAAAATTATAAATTTTTAAAATTCATTTCAAATTCAAATAAAATTTTTATTTGATTTGATCCGAATCAAATTATATTAGTTCGATTCATCTATTTTAAAATTTAATTTTGTTTGGTTTTATATATTATTCTAATATATTTAAATAAATTTAAATATAAAATAGTTATTTTATTTTATAAAAATTTAATATATGTATATATAAACTAATAAAAATATATATTTACAACGTACCGGGCAGATTCAACTGGGAGCCAAGTATTTCTCGATTTACATCATGGTAGGTAGTTGTAGTTATTTTATTAAACTGATTCTGCAAGCATGTACATTACAAATATTTTTTCAACAACTTTTCCTCTCAAAGTTGATAGTATATTTAATATTAATTTGATAGCTCACCCCAGAAATAATAGTAAAATTTAGAATTTAGAATGTTTTTTAAACAAGTAGAAATTTAAGTATGAAATTGTATTAACATTTGTAAGAAAATTGATTGAGAAGTCAAAAGTCTATTGATTATGAAACAGTGAATAATGCTTTATCTTAAAAAAGAATTAGTATCTACATGAAAAAAAAGGTTCGATTGATCACATGATAAAGCAAGAATGATA